GAACTTAGCCTTACTGGACAAAATAAAATTTTTTTGAAGGGATTTTAGGAAACCGGGTTTGCCAACTCGAGTCCCGGAGTGGGAAGTAGGTGCCCCACCCGAAGAAGGGAGGAGATATCTGCAGTTTGAAGGGGCATACAAGGGGCTTTTGGCATGTACACTCAACCACTGTATTTCTTTTGTACAACTATATACATGTCCAAAAAAATAAAAAATAAAAAATAGAAGATACTAAAGTAACCTGGTCTGAAAATAAATTTAAGACTTCTCAAAAGTCACTTAATCACCCTAGACTAAATGCTCAATACTCAATATTCCTATACTCAATACATATTCCCATAACATAATTTCAATAATTACTTTTTAACCTATTACCCATTGTCGACAGGAATATAACTGAATCATTGTTTCACAAAAAGCATTTTTGAATATATGAATATATCTTTTGTTTTATATAAATTAGATTCACTAATAATTAATAAATCTACTGTACAACTATGATATAATTCTTTAGTGTTAAGTATTCCGGAAGTTAATAATGTTAAGTCGGCCCATAATGGCTAGGCATAATAGGCTCTCTTTGCATTGCAACCCATTATTGTAAAAACATAATCTCAATGTACTATTTGCAAAGACATAAATAAATAAATCTGTGCTATAGTAATGGCATAACACGGGCAAGACAGTGATAGTGAATGACGGTGAAAGTCTCTTCATTTGGGTCACTCTACCTCAGTGAGAGATGGCTGATGTTACAAAAAAATATGTATGTACAGTGTCATGATTTTGGATTGACCTATGCATTTCCAACCTGTGAAGTGCCTAGATAATTGTAAGATTTGTTTAATAGGACACTTGCAACACCTACGTATCTTCATTATGAAGTTTTCACTAATTAGTAGACTAAACACTTTCCAAGGCAGAGGGATTGATTACCTCATCTTCTGCAAGACTAAGGGATTCATACCTTATCTTCTACTGTCTCCAGTGTTTGTTTTGCATTAAAATAGAAGTCACTGGTTGCCAGAATGTTTTGATGATAAATATTCCGACGTGTTGCACTTTTCTTTTTCATGTGTGTATAACACTGATTGTTAACTGATGCATAATATGTTTCAGAACTTGGATGACCTAGTTGAGGTGGCCTTGTGGTGAATCGGCCTGATGAACAAGGCTGTTTCTGCTGGCCGCACATAAACTGATACAAGAGCCACAGCCCGGCTGGTCAGGTACAGACTTGGGTGCCTGTCCAGTGCATTCTTGACAGGTGATGGATAATTTAGAGTAATACAAATTGAGTTATGTTTGGGAAACAAAGTTGCACATATTTTTTGATAGAATGCCCATAGTTTTGGAAGTTTTCTTAAATGTGCATTGAATGTGAGTGTTTAAGCAAAGGTTGCAGTTGGGGTATATCCCTAAAAATATTCTCTTATCTTTTTATGAGGGAGAGAATTATTTTTATGTTGAAATGGGTATTTTTAGCTTTATTCCCAAACATGTAGGTCTTGTTTGTATTGAGATTCTTGGTTGCCAGCCAGGTAGAAATAAGAGCTCCTCATTCAGTGTGTTGTCAACAACAGGATCTGAATTAGATATGACAAATGTTGGCATCTGCAAATGGGACTGGTTTAAGTTACTGATAGGCATTTAGTAGGTCACTGATGTAGGTGAGAAATAATAGTGGCCCAAGGACACTACCCTGAGAAGCTTGTGTTGATAGTTTGTTAATGAGGAAATGTCATTGAGTGTCTGTTAGTATAGTAGGAATTTATGTGAGAGCATGTCCTATGATATCGTAATATTTTAGTTTCAGCAGAAAGGTGGTTTATAGTGTCAAATGTTTTTCTTAGATCAATAAAATGGCCCATTTGATATTCATTTTTTGAAAGTTGAGCAGACTTGAGTTTGGCATCTTAATAATAGCATCGTTAGCACTTTTTTCCTGGCTTGAAGCCAAACTGTCAAGGGTTAAGAATATTCTATTTAGTGATTATTATAATCATAGGTTCTAAACCCATAAGCATCATACAACTCTGTTTAGTTTTAAATGCATACCAGGTATATTTATTTTTATATTAGCATATTTTCCAAGATTTTAGACAAATAAGCTAAAGATTGGTCTATAATTATCTATTGGGTCTCCTCCTAGCTAGTATAATTACATTCATGGGAGTCCTAAATCCATAGGGGTCACACAGTGCCTGAGGGAGTGAGAGATTAAAGTTTGATCCAAGGAAAGAAAAAAAAAATAGGTCTAATTTAGTAGATCAAGGAACCTTCCTTTACAAGCCTACTTAAGTATATTAGGGAAAGAACCCACAAGGGTCATATGGTGCTGTTCTAGTGCATTAACTATTCAGCTTTGTAGAATTTGTTGGACAGGTAGAGGGAGTCTTTTACACTGACACTGAGGTACTCTAATTTGAGTAGCATTATTATAATCATAACTAAGCGCTAAACCCACCAGGGACATACAGCAGTGCAACCTGAGCAATAGTTTGGGATTTTACTGCAATATTTGATTGGTGTGGGTCACATCTTGGGGACAAAATTTAACTAATTTACCGAATGCACTGCAAAAGTAGGGCTTTTTATATAGTATGTCATTAATATCAACTATGATGTGTATAAGTTATCATGTACCTTCATTAGAAATATGGGGAGCACTAAACCCATAGGATTGTACAGCACATGTGGAGGGGATGGAAGGTATTCAGGCTTAATTCAGGGAACTTCAGCACAGATCCAATTCCCTAGATCAAGAGCCCCCCACCAGCGTCAAGGAACCTTCCTTGAGGGGCATGTACCTGTAGAAATAATTATTAAGTATACAGTACCAGGTGGAGGCAATATGCCGACAGTGAAAAAATAATACTGTTAAGATAAGATAAGATTTCGCTCGGATTTTTAACCCCGGAGGGTTAGCCACCCAGGATAACCCAAGAAAGTCAGTGCGTCATCGAGGACTGTCTAACTTATTTCCATTGTGGTCCTCAATCTTGTCCCCCAGGATGCGACCCACACCAGTCGACTAACACCCAGGTACCTATTTGCTGCTAGGTGAACAGGACAACAGGTGTAAGGAAACGTGTTGAAATGTTTTCACCCGCCGGAATCGAACCCGGACACTCCGTGTGTGAAGCGGGAGCTTTAGCCACCACTATTTGTACAACTTTTTACCCAACACTGAGCATTTTCAAGAACATAGCAGATATAGGAGTCAGCAGCATATGTTGTCCTTGTGGAGCGACCTCCAACACTGCAACTGTTTGATTATTATAATAATCCAACACTGCAGAGAGCAGCATCTACCAGTGTTGGTGAGGTTGTTAAAGGCCACCAAAGCTTGCGTCGTTGTTGTTGGGTTTTAAGGGCTGTGTTGGCTTGTGCCGTATGATCCGTGTTCCCAGAGGTATGGCGATTAAATAGTCCCTACTACCCAACCTGACCTTGGGAAAGGAATACGTAGCACGTAAAATATGAGCACGAATCTACTGATTATGTTCTTCCTCGTTATAATAATAATGATATAACTGAAGTCGTGTTCCACCAACAGCGATCGAAACCGACCTTGCAAACTTCGAATCCTGCTGTACACATTGAATGCTGTGGTTCTGAGCCCCTCTAGAAAGTAATTATGTTGGTGAGGGTCTTGATTTAGGAATTGATCATTGTCAACAGTTTCTTCCCCAATTAAGCTGTAATGCCTTCCACATCCCCCCATGCGCTGTATAATACATCCGGTTAGCGTTCCCCTGATTATAATGAATAATTAATGGTTCCATTCCAGCTGACACGTAAAAGCTGGCGTGGTTATCCAGTAGTAATTATTCCGATACGGTTAAGTAATACAGTTACATAAATTTCATATATTGTAAACACGTGTAATACCTAGGATAACCCCTAAAAAATTATAGTGAGTTATTTCCATTGGTATGTTCACCATCATAAGTATCTAGATGCTACCACACGAGACAACATCCAGGTAAACATTTAATGGTCCGATGAGCGCACATGACTATCGTTGGTATCCTGGGTGGATAATCCTCCCTAAACCCCGGGCTTAAAAATCTTATGGGAGCTGCGAATTTTTAACACCCGGAGGGTTATCCATCCGCATTAACCCAGAATATGCTATCGTATAGGTATTGTCTTATTTCCATTGTGGTCCTCAATCTTGTCCCCCAGGATGCCACCCACACGAGTCGACTAACATCCAGGTACCTACTTGCTGCTAGGTGAACGGGACAACAGGTGTAAGGAAACGCGTCGAAATGTTTTCACCCGCCGGGAATCGAACCCGGGCCCTCCGTGTGTGAAGCAAGAGCTTAGCCAGCCAGGCCACGGGGTCACCCTTTGTCTGATTCTTGTGGGCTATTTTAGGTAATCTACACATATGCTGTTATGTATAAAGTAATTGTATTTGTGTACCTATACCTGAATAAACTTTAAAATAATAGTTACACGAATGATAACTATATTAGATATGTTGTTTATTTCAATCCATTTACCTGACCACCTAGTTTTTAAAGAGAGAAAGCTGTTTGTTTTATGACACTCATTAAGGTAATAAAAGACGGCATCTTTCCATTGAATAGTGTTAGTCTGTGACCTTGACAAGTCCTGCAGCTGAGTACAACTGAGAGTTGCGTCACGTGTAGCGTGGTCACGTGACCGATCAGCTGTGAAGAGCTGCCAGCTTCCCTCCAGAGAACTTATCATGTTCACGTGCTGACGGGATGATTACACAAACCAGGAGAGTTAATAACCTTTTAGCAAGATATATGAATCAACTCCTGATATTTATAGGTACCAGGTAATGACTAACACTGTGAGTTATAAAGCCGCCTTTGAGGAGGAATTGCAGACAGCATTAAAATATCTTGGCCAAAAATATGATATGGCATTTTCGAGGACGACGTTGACCAATGAGAAAGCAGCTTTGGATGGCAGCCGACACTGGGTTCCAGTAATATTCTGGGCGCCGGTTAGTTCTACCTGAACCTGTGTCTAAGAAGGGTTGTTGGCTAACACAAGGTCCTCCTAGTAATGTACGCCCGTCTAAACTCAAAGTATTATGTCATATTATGATAAATTATTTACCGTGAACACGATACGTATTGCATAATTCATACACTTTAAAATCTTAGTGATCATAAGGTGAAGAAAACAAAAGAGCATCATGTTTAGCAATCTAAAGGCTTTTGATATATACAATTGATTCTTTATAAAGCATTGGGTTCTATTTTAATCTATTTCAGAAGCTAACGTGCACAATTATTTAATATTTTATTAATCGCCAGCGACATTTCCCGAGAAATTGGATTGTTTATCTTGACTCGAAGTCGTCGGGGAATCACGACGGTGTTTAAAAAGGAATAGTTTCATTCCTCCTGTGCGTTCAGTGACGATGGCAAATTCTTCCTCAGATAACTCTGCCAACGACACGGTAAATACTCTTGCTGTGTCTATGTTGAGTGTGTTGACAGCTGCATGAGTGATGAGAGATGAGTTGAGTGCTGCTCATGCGCACAGACACTGCTGTTTCACCTTGCTGTCACCTTGGCTGCTGCTGATCAGCTCTCCTGCTGCTGATCAGCTCGGATGATGCTGCTGATCAATGATGCTAATCAGCTCTGATGCTGCTGATCAGCTCTGATGCTGCAGATCAGCTCTGATGCTGCTGATCATCTCTACCGCTGTTCTGCTCTTCTGCTGATCTGTTCTGCTGCTGCTGATCAGCTCAGATAATGCTGATCAGCTCTGATGCTGCTGATCATCTCTGCTGCTCCTGCTGATCAGCTTTGATGCTGCCTCTGCTCATCTCTGCTGCTGATATGCTATGTTGCTGATGATCAGCTATGTTGCTGATGATCAGCTCTGCTGCTGCTGATCAGCTCTGCTTTTGCTGCTGCTGATCAGCTCTGCTTTTGCTGCTGCTGATCAGCTCTGCTTTTGCTGCTGCTGATCAGCTCTGCTTTTGCTGCTGCTGATCAACTCTGCTTTTGCTGCTGCTGATCAGCTCTGCTTTTGCTGCTGCTTATCGCTATGCTGCTGCTGATTACTCTGCTTTTACTGCTGCTGCTGATTAGCTCTGCTTTTACTGCTGCTGCTTATTAGCTCTGCTTTTACTGTTGCTGCTTATTAGCTCTGCTTTTGCTGCTGCTGCTGCTGCTTATCAGCTCTGCTTTTGCTGCTGCAGCTGATCAGCTCTGCCTTTGCTGCTGCTACTGATCAACTCTGCTTTTGCTGCTGATCAGCTCTGCTTTTGCTGCTGCTGCTGATCAGCTCTGCTTTTGCTGCTGCTGCTGATCAGCTCTGCTTTTGCTGCTGCTGCTGATCAGCTCTGCTTTTGCTGCTGCTGATCAGCTCGGGTGCTGCTGCTGATCAGTTCTGGTGATTCTGCTGATCAGCTCTGCTGCTGCTGATCAGCTCTGCTGCTGCTGATCAGCTCTGCTTTTGCTGCTGCTGATCAGCTCTGCTTTTGCTGCTGCTGATCAGTTCTGGTGCTGCTGCTGATCAGTTCTGGTGATTCTGCTGATCAGCTCTGCTGCTGCTGATCAGCTCTGCTTTTGCTGCTGCTGATCAGCTCTGCTTTTGCTGCTGATTAGCTCTGCTTTTGCTGCTGCTGCTGATCAGCTCTGGTGCTGCTGCTGATCAGTTCTGGTGATTCTGCTGATCAGCTCTGCTGCTGCTGATCAGCTCTGCCGATGATGATCAGCTCTGCCGATGATGATCAGCAGCAGTAACTTGAGTATAGTTTTACAACATATACAAATTTCATCTTTCACGTAAAATTATATAGAATGCAGTTACAGTAATGGCATTTTCTTCAGTATTTAAAGTACCTCCTTTCAGGAGAGGTCCCTTGATGCCTTTAAAGGGTTCATTATCCAGGGAGTTGGACTTATCCTCATCTTCGAATTGAACATGATTGCATCTTATCCCTTGGTGCTGTATAACCCTTATGGGTTTAGATCTTCACAATTATAATAGTAAATCTACTAGAGTTGACTTCATGTAAATTGTAGCAGTTTGTTATACAAAATATAAGGAATACAATTGGGCCTCATGTTATACATAAATGTAATATGTGCAGGTTATATTTTCAAAAGAGTAAATAAGCAAGTTTATTTAGGTATAGGTATATATAGGTATAATTATATATAGTGTAAATTGCCTATGATAACCCTTGATGCTGGTGAAGGGCTCCTTGATTACCTTTGTCTATCTTGGATCAAACCTCATCACCTCCCATTCCACAGGTGCTTTGACTCCTGTGGGTTTGCTGCTTTCCAATGAGTAGGATAATATGCATATTGTAAATTACTAAGCATGTGTACTGCATGCAGTAATGTCAGTTGTGTAAATTTTTAATCACAGAGTTTGCATGTGTCAGCTTTGTAAACCTCAAAATATATTGACTTAGTTTTGTAAATCATTAAGGGTGATGACTTAATTATTTACATTGTTAAAAATTAGAATATTAATGGCTGAACTTGATTCAGCCTCTAGAAAGCCCAACATGGCTGAACTTGCTTCAGCCTCCAGAAAGCCCTACATGCTGAACTTGGTTCAACCTCCAGAAAGCCCAACATGCTGAACTTGGTTCAACCTCCAGAAAGCCCAACATGCTGAACTTGGTTCAACCTCCAGAAAGCCCTACATGCTGAACTTGGTTCAACCTCCAGAAAACCCAACATGCTGAACTTGATTCAACCTCTAGAAAACCAAACATCTCTGGTGCAGCAGAAACCTACTGGGCAAACAAGCGGATGTAAAAGAATCATTGTGGAGAATTTAAATTGTAATTATGAGAGGTGAGCATCTATACTGAAAGGTATATGTCTTAGTTTCAACACAGTCTCCCATACATCTCTAACTGTCTGCATTCATGGCACTTCATCTCGGTAGCTGTAAATGAATTGAGGCGAGATGAGTCAGGACTCAACATTTCCTGTGACTGCCTCAGTGAAGAGCCCATGCTGAAGTTGTCCTGATGCCTGTACTCCTTCAGATTTTGGTTCCTCATGCCTTCTGAAGTCATTCCGTGCTTTACTGAGCTTGTTCTTTTTTTACCACCTCAGTCGAGAATTTCGTCCCTTAGTCATGTCATCACATCTAAGACCATCCCAGCAGTTATCTTCAAACCTCAGTATCAACACCAGGCACTAGAGGGGCCAGATATTCAAAGCAAATGGCAGCACAGCTGATCTGCTGTCTTTCGCTGTACTCAGGAGTGCTGATTTCATAGTATTTGCTACTAAGATAAGAAACCTGTATAACTGTAATTGTTCAGCTGTGTCAGCAGTACTGTGAGCTAAGTTGCTCAGAACCTCCTCTTTACCGTCCTGTATTATTCTCCAAGTGTAGTGCATTTTTATTTTAAATAAGGCATCTGAGAAAATTTAAGTCCCACAAAGTGCCTTTAGCCTTTGTTAATATATGCTCATTGATTTTTAATTTTTGTGTTTTTTTAAGTGATAATTATTGTTGTTTTAAAGTGGTTTTGTGTATTGTGCAGTTAATGTTTTTACAGACTTCCATTAGTTGTTAAAAGTGAAAGTTATCTGAGAAAACAGCATGTAGTTATTATTGAAATTTCTAGCAATGTCCATTAGAAGCTGTGTTTTGTGTTATCCATTGCTTAAGTTTTATTGTTTTCCTATAACAGTGTTCTGAGTAATAGGCCTCATTTATTTTCAGACATATTCAGTGGAAATGTTGATAATATTTTTTCCTTGTGTTTAATGTTTGAATTTTGTTCTTGAATTGTTGCTATTAACAATTTGACATATAACTTTTTTTAGAGAAATGATAAGCCTAAAAGCAGATCTTTATTTTCTTAAGTAATGGCTATTTCAGTGGCTTTGTATTGAGACATTGCATACCTGGAGTATACCTGGTGAGGGTTTCAGGGGTCAGTGCCCCCATGGCCCAGTCTGTGACTAGGCCTCACGGCGGATCAGGGCCTGACCAACCAGGCTGTTGCTGTTGGCATGATGTCCTGGCTCAGGTAGCCACAGGAAGTTCAAACCTTGGTGTTAGACAGAACAGATCAGGGCTGGCATCACATTTAGCTCGTCTCCTCGCCTTCCTTGATAGAAAAAAAAGCCAGATAGAAAAAATCCAGGTCTCGGTTCAACCTCTAGAGAACCCAACATCTGGTGCAACAGGAACTGTCGGGACAACTTTGCTAATATTTTCCTTAAATTGACCCGTGTATCTGGTTCATCATAGGGCCAATTGGGGGTCAACCCTCTGTCAGTGGTGAAATTACAGTCCATTTTGTTGGCTCTTAATGACATGGTTTAAATATCCCTACTTATAAGACTGATTAATCTTACTACAAATCATGCATAGCAGACTCAGTCATACTATTTTAAAATACTGTCTTACATGACTTTTAGTACAGTATATGATTAAGTTTTTTCATGTAAAGAAATCTTAAAGAAATGAGCTAAATGCTTGCCAAAAGATAAAGAATCAAGAATGAAGATATATCCACTGATATGGAGATAATAGCATGAATTTTAAAGGAATTTGCAGAAGAACTCTGCTGTCAGCTTAAATATATTTTGAATTTCATTAAAAGATAAACTAAGAAAATCAAGGTAAAGATTTTATTTCTTTGTAAAGGTTGCAATGTGTAATTACAATTTTGGTTTGGTAAGTACAAAGAAAGCAACTATCATGCCTGGGCATTTCAGAAAGTGTTGCACATTATGATACTTGTGAATTTTGACAGGAGAAATGCATGAAACTATGCTTGTCTCAGTGACTGGTTTTGCTAAGGGAAATATTATCTAAATAATGAAGAAACTAGTGCTCACACAGGATACCTACCAGTGTCGTGGAATCCGAATTATGATTAGCCACTGTCCCTGCCCTGTGATTATTAACCCTTAACCTGTCCAAACATAGATCTATGTTTGTGTGCGTAGTACCCCGAACGTAGATCTATGTTTTTTTTACAAAAGAAACAGTGTAAAATCGAACGTAGATCTATGTTCTGAGTGCTACGCGTGCGAACATAGATCTACGTTTGGACAGTTTAAGGGTTAAAACACTTGTCTCAAAAACTGCCTGACCCTTAATATTCTAAGCCCATGAGTATTTTGCACATAATTGTTACCCTCTTGTCTGAGTCTTCTATCATAGTGCTTGCTCTTAAAGGAGAGTGTTGACCACTTTTTGATAATATAAGTGTATCAGTGCTCTGGCTATTGTAAATGTGAAAAATTAATAACAATTGGAGAAATATAATATTGTTTATCCTAAATTTCCAAAACATCCTTAGCTTTGTAAGCATTATACATTATATACAGTAGGTTGGTAGACAGCAACCACCCAGGGAGGTACTACCATCCTGCCAAGTGAGTATGAAACGAAATCCTGTAATTGTTTTACATGATGGTAGGATTGCTGGTGTCCATTTTTCTGTCTCACAAACACGCAAGGTTTCAGGTACGTCTTGCTACTTCTACTTACACTTAGGTCACACTACACATACATGTACAAGCATATATATACACACCCCGCTGGGTTTTCTTCTATTTTCTTACTAGTTCTTGTTCTTGTTTGTTTCCTCTTATCTTCATGGGGAAGTGGAACAGAATTCTTCCTCCGTAAGCCATGCGTGTTGTAAGAGGCGACTAAAATGCCAGGAGCAAGGGGCTAGTAACCCGTTCTCCTTTATATATTACTAAATGTAAAAGGAGAAACTTTCGTTTTTCCTATTGGGCCACCCTGCCTCGGTGGGCCACCCTGCCTCGGTGGGATACTGCCGGTGTGTTGAAAGAAAGAAGAAATTTATTATTTTTCAGATTTAGTTTTGCTCCGTTTTTTTGGATATTGTTGTTTCTTAATGTGCATGATTGGTACTAGGATGGCATTTTTTACTCCAAGAAAGGTCAGATGTGTATATAAAACCAAAATGATTCCCAAAGGCTACTCTGTGTCAGTCAGTCATCAGAATAATGAAAGCTACAATAGCTCCCTGTTTTCCTTTGCCTCCCATTTTTTCTAGTCCTAAGTATTTCTGTATTTTGGTGTACCTTCGTATATTTGTATATGATGTGCATGTGATCTGTTATTTTTATTAAAACTCGTCTGTACTTGCCCTGTAATTCTTGTAATTTTTATTTTTAAAATTATATAATATTTAGAGGGTCTAATATTTTAATGAGGTTTAAAAATCTTAATAGTGCAATACAGTATTATATTTCTCATTATATTCCTGCCATGATCAGCTACCAGCTAAAAAGAGAAATTAATATTTAATTACCAGGCTTTGTTTAATACCTTTGAGGAGCTACACATAGTTTATTTTAATATTACTCTCTTTCTTCTCCCTCTCTCCTCCCTCCTCTCTCCCTCTTCTCTCTTCCTGCTTTCTCCCTCTTTATCTCCCTTTTCTCTCCCTCTTTCTCCCCCTCCCTACTACCTCCCTCCCCCCCCACCCTCTCTGTGCTCACCATTTTGTACTTGCATTTTAATAGTTATGTACACACACATATTTATTATTTGTATTTGTGGCTGAAGATTAGTTAAATTATACACCAGTCTTGATTTAATTTATATTTTCAGTATTGTTTTTTTTTACCCAATGTGTTTGATATGAATGCAAGGTTTTACATTTTTAAAATATGATGCAGCAGCAATTAAAACATGTAGTATATATAAACAGCTTGAACTCGTTTAAATATATTGGATCCTCATTCCTGTTTTTTTTTATTGTGTTGCCTAGCCAGTCGGCTCTAGCATGTTTCCCATACTGGATCACAGGCAAGCATCCTTTTAGAGCACTTGTATTTCCCATTCAGATATGCCCACTCTGGTCCTGAGTTACCCCTCCATGTTCTTTGACTTTGGTTGACTTTTTGTTTTTGCTTGCTTTTCTCTCTCCAGAGTGCCACCCCCAAGATGGTAGACTGGTTGTTAGGTCTTCTGGCACTGCAGGCTCAGTGTCAAGCAGATGCCAAGTCCACCAAGGTAGGTTCATCACCCCACCCTTCACATGTGCTCTAAGTAGAGCTCGCATGAACTGTTACTTAACCCCACTAATTTGTTTCTGAACCTATAATCTCTCTGGTTGATCTTCAGCAGGTGAGTTATAGCTCCATCTTAGCATTGTATAGTTAGTGCAGAAACTGCAGTTTCACTCAGCTCATTTGTTTCTTAACTTAAACTAACCTTTCTAGTGATCCCATTCAGGTGAGTTGTATGTAGGTTCATCTTAGATTATGCTTGCAAGAACTGTGGTTACACTAAATGCTTTTTACATAACCTTTGTGGGTGATTTAGTGAGGTGACTGGTAGTTTTATTCCTCGTATGAAAAGCATTTATAACATGTATTAAAAACGTGATAATGTTGGACTATGTTAGATTGAAATTGACGAAGTCAGATTGCTTGTCAAATATTCAGAGCCACCCAGTGAAGGTGAGTCATATTTATAGCATAACATTGCACATAAACTATTCCTGTATTGATCACACAGGGATTCACCTTCAGTCAAGCCTTTTTTTTTCACATATACAGTTTTCGTTGTTTTAAATACAGAAGAGTCTACTATTGTGTATTTACATTCAGTTTATATTAGTAATGGGACGATACCCAAGTTTTTGCTGATAACTGATACCCACTGATAACGATACTTCAGCACATTCATACTTTGTATTTTAAGATATAAGTGCTGGGGCAGCGCCAGAATTTCTATGCTGGGGGGGGGATGGATTTCTATCTTGTTGGGGGGGGAGGATTAGTAGACTTGTTTTGAAGCTTCGTTACTATTATTGCTATTTTTATTTGGAGGCTGAAACCCCCAGGGTCCCCTTCCCCCTTTGGCGCCATCATTATACAGGTGGAGGCAAAACATACACACACTATCGAAATTTACACCCAAATATTCTATGGCTGCTCCCTTTGTGTATTATTGTACCGAGATACAGCATCTGGAAAATGGGAGATGATCAGAACTGAAAGCAAGACAGGGTAAGGTAACTGCAAAAGTAAGACAAGGTAAGGTAGCTGCAAGTCCTTGTTTTGAGAGCCTTTCATTTGCATCAAATTACTGTACCATTTGAAGTAATCTAGCGCATAACTGATTGATTTTAGTTACCATGCCAACAATGTCGGTGATAAGTACACTGAAAGTTAAGGATGGCGCCAGAATTTCTATACTGGAGCTTAAGTGGCCATCTGGTTGGAAGGGGTGACTGGGAGACTTGTAACAAGGTCGGTAGAATTACCAACAGTATGTTAAGTAAAAGGATGAAAGTGCAACTAGTGTGACATTTTGTGGCAACATTTTTCTCTCCAGGGCTTTGTCAGGCCGTTACAAACAATACTGGGACACACAAGGTTTGTATAGATAATGTGAAGTGAAAAAACATAAGGTAACATAGGCTAACTGGCCCTTGCTTAGGTTAGGTTAGGTAAGGTTCGTCAGGAAACAGGACAAGTGTTTCCTGACGCGGGTCTTATCAGATGATGACTGCCAATGGAGCTTTTGGTCAGCTGACCTAGGCCTTCCGCTGGCTTACCGGTCTACCCCTTTAAAAATTTTGGTTTTAGTTATAACTATCTGGTGGTAGTAATAGTAGTAGTGTAGTACTCCTGGTTGCTATGTGATGGCGGGGTTTATTGCTTTGAGGAGAACTATTGTTAATACTTAAGAGATAACGAAGCTATATTCTGTTTTATAGTGTTTGAAATGGTGAGTAAGGGCAGTTCAAGGCATTTTCGTCGGTGGAAATTGGGTTCTTTAGTCACAAGACGGACATCGTTGTAGTTGTAGTAGGTTTGCCGGTCTTGCCCCGGTCTGAGTCTTTACCAAAAGGTGACCCGGCATTGGGCACTCGAGTGGGGGGGAAGGATGGGACACTCATCTTCTGTCCTGTGCCGAAATCCTGCTGTGGTCACTCCCTCTGAAGGGTGACGGTCATCTTAAATCTTGCAATGGCTCCCCAGGGTAGGGACTGTCCGTAGTTGTCTTCGGATGGTATGGCAGAGGAATGGAGTAGATTATTATTATTATTATAATCAAAAAGAAGCGCTAAGCCACAAGGACTATACAGCGCTGCAGGGCAGGAAGGAAGCGAGGGCATCAGGTGGCAAAAGGGAGATGGATGAGTAATAGGTTACGGATAACAGCAGGGCAGTGGATGGTGAAAGGGTAAAGGGCAGCAAGAGACTGAACTAGAAAGGGCTGAGGGGAGTGCGAAAAGTATCATCAGAGTTTGTGGAGTAAATCAGTCGTTGTCAAGAAGTCAATGAGAGAGTCAGGATTAAAGGAGGGTCCATCAGCAAGAAGGGAAGGTAAAGAGAGAGTAGTAAACGAAGACGACGTTGGAGGTAAATTCTGCGTGCTCGTTGATAGAGAGGGCAGTCTAAGAGAATGTGGCTAATCGATACTGGAACTTGACACTGCTCACAGAGAGGAACAGGGTGCCTCTCCATGAGATACCCATGAGTAAGACGAGTGTGACCAATGCGAAGGCGGGAGAGAGTGGTCTCCCAACCTCGGCACTGATGACAAGAAGACGGCCAGTAACCTATGCTCGGTTTAATAGAATGAAGTTTGTTACCGAGCAGAGTTGACCAAGGTTGTTGCCAACGGGTGCGAAGGTGGGTAGCTATTGCAGCAAAATAGTCCAGAAATGGAGCACCTCGATAGGAAATTGGTAGGTCATGTACTGCTGACCGCGCAGCAGTGTCTGCCTGTTCATTGCCCTGTACGTCGACATGACCAGGGACCCAACAAAAAACAATATCTTTATGTTTGGTAGAGATACGGCGTAGCCAAAGTTGGATACGGAGAACTAGGGGATGAGATGTATCAAATTTTCGTATAGCCTGTAGAGCACTAAGGGAGTCTGAGACTACTACAAATGATGACACAGGCATAGATGCGATACGAATAAGTGCTGCAAGAATGGCATACAGTTCAGCAGTAAAAATGCTAGCTGAAGATAGTGAATGTCCCCGCACGACGCTGTCCGGAAACACTGCTGCGAATCCGACGCCGTCTGAAGACTTAGAGCCATCTGTGTACACAGCGGTGGCATGAGAATGGGAGTGGAAGTGATCAAGAAAAAGAGAGCGGGAAGCCACCGTAGGCAGTTGAGCTTTCGAGCAAGGGAGTGAGAAAGAACAGACCCGAACAGCTGGAATGGAGTCGAGAATGTAAAGAGTGGATGGGGGAGTAGCGGTGGTCCCGTCGGGGAGTCTTCACGGTGTCTTCATCAGGTGTGCTGCAAGGACTGGGAGTAGAGTCTCCAAGTCATGGACGACAAGGTGCACCATATGTGCAGCCTCGTCCTCCTGGGCCCGACCCACTGAAGGCAAAATGGTCGGTGGAATTCCGGTGTTGTACACATGCGTTGTTTAAGCTATCGTGCAGCATGCATTGATTTGTTCATTGAGACATATTCTAAGGCTTTGTTCTGTTTCGCAGACGTATACCCTGACAGCCTCCACAGGGGATTTTGTAATTACCTACATTTGCTGGTTCGAGGTACTTCAGTTTAATCCTGGTCAGGTCTTCAACGGAGGTGCTGGTTGCCATGACAACTCGTGTTAAATTGCGAGAGTACTTTGGAGACGTGCTGGGCAACCTGGCTGTTGGGAAGGATTATAATGTTAGGAGTAGTGCTAGTGCCTGCTCAAGAATTGACGATTTTGAGGGCGCTTTTCTTAGGGCTAGGAGACTTGCTTTGAACCAACGTCATTACTATTTTTATTGTCGCCTTCCCTGTGAGAGTTAACTTTATATGAAGATGCTTCGAGAGGTAACTTGTTATAAAACACCGGGAGAGAACTCAGTATTGAGGTCCACTGAGCAGTAGAAAGGTACACTTTTTTACCTTTAAAACAATCGTCACTTCCACTGTGGTAGTCGATACATTGAGAGAGATTGATTAATAACAGACGTGTGGAAGTTAGGTATCTTTATTGTTGAAACGTTTCGCCTACACAGTAGGTTTTTTTTAGTTGAATACAGAGATAGCAGGAGTAAAGATAAAAAAAAAAAGATGCAATCTGTCCATCACCCTGGAAGATGTAGTTTTGAGGTGGTCAGTCCCTCAGCCTGGAGAAGAGTTCAGCTCCATGGTCTGGCCCCTCAAGGAAGGTTCCTTGATGTTGGTGAGGTACTCTTGATTTAGGGAATTGGATCTGTGCTCCAGTTTCCCGAATTAAGCCTGAATGCCTTCCGCATCCCCCCCCCCCCAGGCGCTGTATAATCCTCTGGGTTTAGCGCTTCCCCTTGATTATAATAATAATAATCCATGGTCTGGAACGATATGAAGCTGAATTAACGAAATTGGAACCATCCTGCATTTCCTAGAATCAAACCATGTTACCGTCCATTCCCCAGCTACCACCCTACGGAATAGCGTTTTTCATAGAATATATAAAACATTCTTTTAGTTTGTATATTAGTATATGTAATCAATTCATTCCGTATCTTGATATGTTGGTGACTGCACACACATGCGTATGTACGTTTGTTCGTGTGTGTGTGTGTGTGTGTGTGTTGTGTGTGTGTGTGGTGTTGTGTGTGTGGTGTGTGTGTGTGTGCGTGTGTGTACATTCCAATGCATAAATTGAAAGGTGAATGTGTACATAGGCATACACAGGTGGCTGTGTACATGGGACATGCAGCCTCGTGTGCGCGCGGGTGTCTGTACTCCCCTATGTCTGTACATGTGCGAGAGCACGTGCGCACGCTCGTGCGTTTGTTCTTGCGTTGTTGGGGTTCGGAACAATTTTATCTGCTGGCTGCCATCCACCTGCCCAGCCAGTGCCTTACGCTGCCCTCAGTTGTTGCTAGTGCCAGAGTAACTCCCCTTCCCTACCCCCGTGTTGGCACTTGCTTTGTGTAGCAGGAACGGGCGGTGGAGGGGGAGGGATGGACTAGCACCATTGTAGAGGTACCACTCCGTCCATCAGAATAATTACCAATACATCCCTCTGTGTTTAAGAGGCGAGTGAGTTTCCCTGCCTCCTATTATCATGTTTATTTTTCCACTATAATCTACCGTGCCCATAATTACTATCACATTTGCTTTGTTTCCTAAGGTAAAGTCTAGAGTATTTCCTTAATTCATGGTATAACTTAAATCTTTGATGATAATTGTGTTGTAGAAGCCTGAGCTTCGCTCTACAACACACTTGTCATCAAAAATTTAAGTTATACCACGAATTAAGAAAAAATCCTGGACTTTTCCTTAGGAAACAAAGCTAATGCGATAGTAATTATGGACAAGGTAGATTATAGTGAAAAAATAACGTATTAAAAA